GTAGGAATAAGCTATCGTTATACCTCAGTGCCACGAGAGTGCGGGCAGCTCTGTGTATGTGACCTGGCTTCCTTTCCCTTTCTTTTCCCCTTCCTCTTTCTTTTCCTTTCCCCTTTTGTTTCCTTTCCTTCTTTCCTTTCTTTCTCCTTCTTTCCTTCCCCCTTCCCATTTTTTCTTTCTTCCCTCTCTTCCTTCCTCCCTCCTCCTGTCTATTTTCTCTTTCTTGTTAGGATGAGCCAGGGCTTCCTGGGTAGATGTCAACAAGCTGTAGTACATTGGTGAAATACATCATGTCACGTGGCAGCCATGTTTTTCCAAGCACCCCTCCCCCAAGAGTAGGAATGAGCCTTCTTCATCTGGCTCTAAGAGGAAATTCTTGTTATTAAGCCAAAGGGAGCTGGCAATTTCTGCCAATGTGACAATAAAATGCAGAAAACAGAGGAACTTCACTACTGACTGTGTTAGGAAAGAGAACCTAGTTATCTCTTTGTAACCCTCTGGAATTAGGTACAGTTGTTTGCAGGGCTGACATCCTGTTTACAAGTTTTAAAGCTTAAGGAGGGAGGAGAAAGGAAGGAGGAGAGAGTTACTATTTTTTCCATAGCTCTACAATTTGAGGTCTTTGGCCTCTTTAAAGCTGTGGTTTACATCTAAATAATAGTAACAATAATAAAGTCACTAAAAACATTCATTTGCCTTCCTCCAAGCAGTGTAGAGGTGTTAATTATGCAGAAATTCCTTCAAATGTCCAGACAAGTGCCAGTTAAAGGTCAATACCGAAATGGGGAACTGGGTTTCTTTTGAGCTTTGAATTCCCCACTACAATAAAGGCAAAGTGTGTAATGAGAAAAGAAAGTAAATTTGCTATCTGTGCATTTCTTCCGTCAATAGAAGAGATAGGAAGAATGGCTGTTTCCTCCCTTCCTTCTTTTTCTTTCTTTCTTGAACCCAGTGTTCTTGTGCATGCTAGGCAAGGGCTGTGTCATGGAGCTACATCCCCCCTGCTTTTATTGATCGCTGATTACTTCTTGCCACAAAACTACAACCCCTGCTATCTATATAAATCCCATTCTTGTCAAGAAAGATTAGGCCATGGTCAAGCAGGCTGGGAACTTTTCTACCCTGCTCTGCCCATTTATTGATATTAACCCTTAAGGGCATAGATAGATGTCAGGGGAGAAAGTAAAAACTGCAGAACAAAATCTAACATCATACATTCGCCTCTAATTGGCCTACTGTAGCTGAGCTATATTTTGTGGTTAATTTTTTTTCTCAAATTGTCCTCACGTCCTTGTTAATAAAATTTAGATGGTTATGTAGAAATGAACCAAAAATTTTTTAACATACAGAAACCATAGTACATTTGTATACAGCTACTGAATTTAACTCCTTGCATTTTATAAGCCACAGTGGCATAATCTGAAATTGGAACATTTCAGTCACCACAATCATCACACTAGCATAAGTCTGTCTCAGGCATTTCCAGAACAACCCATTGATAAGGCAATGCAGAGTTCTTTACTTACCAAGGTAAGGTCGACCATCTCTCAAAGATTTGCCAGACTCCTCCAAACAGAAGGTGACAATGGAAACAGGAATAGCACCAAATCATGCAGTGTAGACAGTGAGATGTCCTGACTAGATCAGTATCCAAGCTGACTATAATTCTCTGGGCTACTCAGGTAATTTAATCTTCTAGTATGAACTGAAGCCTTTGAATTTTTTGTTTATTTAGAGCTGCTGAAATTTGTAGTAATTTGACACGATCAGATTTTGTACATGGCCACCATTCCTTTGAAATCATTTATTAACTGATTAGCCTATTTCTTATGTTTGGAGGGAAAATTAAAACAGAAAAATTTTGCAAAAAGTGTCCACCGAGTCTCCAGTTGGCCTGCAACAAATCCTGTAAACCCAGAGAGGGCAGCAGAGGGAGGCTGAAGTCTGTGCTCGATAATTTAAACAGCAACCCATCATTTTGGGCAATTCTTGGGAGGCGACTAAAAGTGAAATAGTGGATGCTGAATATTTTTCAAGAGATGAAAATCCTCACACAGAGGCAGGAAATTTCTATCTTTTAGATGCTTCAGCTCTGTGTCCAGACCACCTGTTTCTTCCCTTTAAGTTGGAGGCAGGGAAATCGTGTGGGATCCTTGCAAGCTCCATTTCAGATTCTCAACCCAGTCCCCACCGAGGATGCAAATTCCAGAAGGTGCCTCTGACTTCCAGGTCCGCTGGGACACACTTCAGTATTCACAGTTTCCCCAAGAACTGGAGGGGGCTCTGGGGCTGTGAGCTAAGCTCCCCCTGAAGAGGCTGTCTAGGGTTGAAGTTCCGAGGGCACTTAACATTTGAAAGGAGTGTGATCACTGTATTTACATTTAAATTAAAATGGAAACTTCTTGTAGGTTATATTTCTAAAAGGTATGTGTGGCGCATCTGCTGAGGTCTATTGTTTATTCATGCTGTAAATCCTTTGAAATGTGTTAAAATGCTTCCCACTCATTATAAAGCTCCTGCCACCCCTGGATTACGACTTTGATGTCACCAATCCTGCTTCAAAGGGTTCTTTCTGGGCTATTAATCACAGTTTAGCCTCTGAAGATATCGCCAGAGAAAACATTTAGACATCTTTATGCTAGACTTGCTAAAACTTTGAAATCTTGAGCATCGTGCTTATGCACAAATTGCCAGGTTTCCTTCTATTGACGACTTTTTATTTTGTTACAGAGTCAAATGACACTGTAGGTAAAAGTGCAAACAAATCTCTTCCCACACTTGGTTTGGTGATGGGTGTGTGGTAGTTAGGAGGGAAGGGGAGAGTCTGAGAGGTCTCACTGAGCCTACAAAGGTAAAAAGCAGCAGGGTGTGAGTGCCCAATATATTTCCTGTGTCATTTTTTGTCTTCATTTTTTTTTGACTAATTAGCACTCACAAGGAGAATTGGTGAGATCCCTGGTATTCTCTGGCTTTCTATTCTCTGTTTTGAGACCTATGTGAATTGTCCCCACAAATAATAATAATAATAATAATAATAATAATAATAATACAGGTTCATAGCAAATAATAATAATATACACATAATAATCATTATCCAAAATACTTGGCACCAGAAGTGTTTCACTTGATCTTAGCCAAAAGGCCGAGAAGTGATGCAGAAGTGTTCCAGATATGAATTTGGAGGGGAGCAATTTGGGAACATTTGCATAAGCAAAGTGAAGTATCTTGGGGATGAGACTGAACCCTAAATGCAGAATTCATTTGTTTCTTATACATTTTATACAAATAGCTTGAGGTAGTTTTATATTACATATACACCCTCACACATACGGATGTATATGTATGTGTTTACAAACATACTTCTATGTTGAGCTCATATAAATAGCCTGAAGGTAATTTTATACTATGTAGATATTCACACAAATGTGTATGCATACATATGTATACACAAATATATACACACATGTGTATCTTATACAAATAGCCTGATGGTAATTTTATTTTACATACTCACACATACGTGGTTATATGTAGTACAATGACCATGGGTAATCAATGTCTTCAAAATTCTGGTTTTTTAAAAAATTCTTTTAGATAAAAACTTAGAATGGGATTGCTGGATGATATGGTACATCAATTTTTACTTTTTTTTTTTTTTTTGGTACCGAGGATCAAACTTGGGTCCTTGTGCTTGGCAGCAGGCGGTGAAACCACTGAGCTAAATCCTCGGCAATTTTTACTTTTTGAAAAACTGCCATTCTATGATTTTCATAGCTACACCATTTTATATTACTATGAACAGGAGGAAGTTTCAATTCCTCGACTTAAATTAATTTTATTGGTACAGTTTAGATCTTTTTAAAAATTAATTTTATTAATTTTTATTTTTATGATGGTCATTCTAACTGGGATAGTGTGTGGTTTTTGTTTTGATTTCCCTAATGATTAGTGATATTGAGTACATTTTCACACATCTGTTAGTCATTTGCATGCCTTTTCTGGCAAGCCCTTACCCATATTTTACTTGAGTTACCTGGTTTTCTGCTATTGAATTTAGGTATTTTCTATACCTCCTGAATATTATTCCTCATCAGATGTGTGGTTTGCCAATGTTTCCACCCATCTGTGCATTGTCTCTTCATTGTCCATGGCTTCCTGTGCCACACAGAAGCTTTTAGTTCCATGTCATCTCATTTAGTACCTTTTGCTTTTGGTGTCATATCCCAAAGCTCATTGCCAAACCAGTGTTAAAGCTTTTCATCTACATTTTGTTCTAGGAGTTTTGTAGTTTCAGATATTATGTTAAAGACTTTAATTCATTTTGGTACCAGGGATTGAACTTGGGACCTTGTGCCTGCAAGGCAGGCGCTGGAACCACTGAGCTAAATCCCCAGCTCCTGTAACTGATTTTTGTATATCAACTTTCCATACTGTATCCTTGCTGAGTTCATTTACTAGTTCTGGTAATTTTTAAATGGAATGCTTAGTATATATCATCTGTGAACAGAGATAGTTTTACATCTTCCTTTCTGATTTGGATGACTTACATTTCTTTTTCTTGCCTAATTGCTCTAGCTAGGACTTCTGGTACTATGTTTGTACTATGAAGTGTTAAATGTGAACATCCTTTGCCTTGTTCCTGAAATTAGAGGGAAAGCTTTCAATTTTTCACATTGAGTATGGATCTGTCAGCTTTTCATGTATAGCCTCTTATCATATGGAAGTAATTTCCCTCTATTCCCAATTTGTTGTATGAATTTGGTATTTATGTTATTTCTTTTTTGCTTGTGAAATATACAATTTGTGTAAATATTTTAATTACAATAAAAATAATTATTACAATTTATATAATTGAGCCTAAAAATATTCAAATATTTTTTCAAATTCAGGTAGATTATTCAGAAAATTTGGAAAAAACTAAAAAAAAAAGGAAAAAAATACTCATGATGCTATTCCTTAACTTTTCCTTCAATTTAAATTCTTTGTCTATTTTTGCTCAGGTAATTTGGCCCAGGCAAAAACCAGGATATCAACAGCCTCCAGATCTTTGCCTCCACATTTCAGTGCTGCGAAAGCCAAGGTGAGTAGATTTGCACCAAAGATAATGTCGGTAGGATGGGAGCGGGGGTTGCTTCGGCCCTGGGGATAATGCTAGTGGACAGCTTTAGTTCCCTTTATCCAGCCCACAGCCAGGCAGTGTTTAAGAAATCAGGGTTGAGGAATTTTAAACAATATCATGGAATTCTTAGGATCTTGATTCTCAGAAAGATCACTTAAAATACAGAGTAATGACACTTGAAAATAAAGTCTATGTAGGAAGAGATAAAGTACTTTTCCTTAGGGCTAACACCAGCCTACAGAGAAGGAGAACACAGAACAAAGGAATTAGCAAGAAGAAAGAAACCACACTGTTTCCTATTGCTTGGCTTTGCCCTCTGAAAAACTGAGGGACTTTGTAGTGTAAGAGGAACATTAGAAGGGTTCATAGATTCCCAGCTGTAGGATCTCAAAGACAGACTGGTTGATGCTCACTGTATGTACAGAAATCCTCCGTATCTGCAATTTTTATTTCCATGGCTTTAGTAACCTTCAGTAACTGTGGCCCAAAAATATTAAATGCAAAATTCCAGAAAGAAATAAAAAATTCATAGGTTTAAAGTTGTGTGCAATTGTAGCTACCATGGTGAAATCTCACACCTTTCCACTCTGTCCTGCCCAGGAATATCCTGTCCTTGGTCCAGTGTATCTACGTGATATACACTACCCACCCATTAGTCACTTAGTAGCTATCTCAATTATCAGATCAACTGTCAAGTTATTGAAGTACTTGTGTTCAAGTGACCCTTATTTTACTCAATAATGGCCCCAAAACATGAGTTATGATCCTAGAAATTTGAATATGGCCAAAGAAAAGCCATAAAGTGCTTCCTTTATAAGGAAAATGATACCATTATAACAGTATATTGCTATAGTTGTTGTGTTTTATTATTATGATTGCCATTCTCTTACTATACATAATTTATAGTTAAACTTTATCATAGGTATGTATGTATTAGGAAAAGCATAGTATCTATAGAATTTAGTAGGATCTGTTTCAGGCATCCCCTTGGGATCTTGGGATATAACCCCCAGGATAAGAGAAGACTATGTATTAACACCAAAAACAATTATCTTGAAGGTGATAGAGTAATAAACAGATCATATCCCTGAATTTTTTTTGTTTTTGTTTGTTTATACAAAATATTCATTTAATCAAAAATAAGCAACTCAGCCACATATAAAACTGTTGGATATTATTCCAAAATTTATACAGATATATATCAGTATACTTATTTCTATTGATAATAAAAGGTTTACTTGTGCAGAGTAGGAACTCAAAAAGATTTTTTATTAACAATGATTTTATATCCACATTGCTATTATGATCCATTTGATTCCTACTTTTCAACCTTGCTACTTGGTGGCAAGGTACAGCATTAGGACTATTTAACATGGATTATTAGGGCTCTTAGAAGAGATTTATATGTTTCCCCGCTTCTGAAGGCCACTTGATCTCATGTGTAAAATTGTTTATATCAAATACAGTTGATTTTTATTATTTGTAAAAGTTATGGTTTATGTTATGGCTTAGATCTAAAATGTCCCCCAAAAGTCTCACGTGTTCAGAGGTGAGGCGTTGGGAAGTTGATTGGTCCATGGGGATGCTATACTTGTCAGTGGATTAATACATTGGTGACTTCATAGCTGAATGTGCTGTTAGGAGGTGGGGCCTGGTTAATGGAGATGGGTCTCTGGGGGCTGACCTGGAAGGATGTATTCTTGTCCTTACCTTTTCCCTTCTTTCCTGCTTCCTGACTGACATGAATTGAGCAACTTTTCTTTACGATGCCCTCCCACAATGCTGTTTCTGCCTCAGAGCTAGCCAACCATGGACTGAATTCTCTGAAACTATGAACCAAAATCTCTCCTCCTTTAAGTTGTGGTTGTTGGATATTTTGTCCTACTGACAGGAAGATGTTTAATACAGTCTGTAAAGCTGCTACAAACACTAAACTGTCACTCCTAGAAGAAACACAATTAGGTTGCAATAAGACTGTGGTCAGAGTCAGCAGATCAAATACATATACCCATTGTCTCTCTCTCTCTCTCTGTCTCTCTCTTTCTTTTTCTTTTTCTTTTTGTAGTTCTAGTGATTGAATCCAGGGCCTTGTATATGCTAATCAAGCCTTTTTCCCTAGAGCTATGCCCCTAGGCCCCATCATTTTGTGTTTCTGTTTAAAGACATCTATTCAATAATACATCTTATAAATAATTATATTCATATTTCTTTATATACAACAATATTTCAGACTGAGTATGATAGCACATATTTGTAATCCCAGTACTCTGGGAGGCTGAGGCAGGAGGATCACAAATTTGAGCCCAACCTGGACAATTCAGAGAATTAGTGAGATCTTCTCTCAAAATAGAAAAATAGAAAAAGGGCTGGGGATGTACCTCAGTGCAAAGGCCTGGGGTTCAATCCCTAGTACTGCAAAAAAAATTTTTTTTTTCAATTGCACCATTTGTGCCATTGATCTCACAGCCAACAGCACTCTATCTCGTTCCTGCGTAAAGCTTATCTAGCATAGGTATTTTCTCCATGAGGCAGATCACAACCTTCTTGTGCTTAGGAACATTAGATAGCACTTAAGCATTACGCTTGTAAAACCACCAAGAAAACAAATTTAAATGCAAAAAAAGAAAAAAAATGAAGTCTTTAAATAGACCTCAGAAATAGACACTTGTTCATAGTAGGAAAGCTGAAACAACACAGTGTCAGTGTGCCAGAGTAACGGGGTTCAGGGCATGCCACCCCAGAATATAGTATTCTGGCTTTTAAGAAAACAGCAAAGGCAAGATGACAACTCTCACCTTCCTTTCACCCATCTTCTCTAAAGCAGGCTAGAGAATGCAGAAACCTAGCTGAGCTGTTGGCAATGCCAGGCTTGCCTTCCCAGTCGGGGGCTGGGAGCTTTTCGGAGGGGTGGTGCCCTAAGGATTTTTCTTCTTAAGGGATGGATGTCTCACTTGATAGCAGTAAAAATTCCTTGTCAAGGAGATTATAAGGACAAGCACTTCTGAGGGTTCAGGATGCAAATAGTGAGCACTTACTGAAAGCAGGAGAAATTTTTTCGGTTTTGCATTCATTGATGATATCTGGATGGCTTATGGGACTTTTTTGGAATCTTTATCTTTATTCTCCAGTAAATTCGGTCAACAGGTATGGCAAAACTTTTAAATAATGTCATGCTTTGAGACTTTGATTTTATATCATACCACACAGGGCGACAATAGTGTTTAAGAAGAAAGGTTTAGGAATCAGACAGAACTGGGCTCAGATCTTTGCACAGTCATATACTGGCTACAAGACTCTGGGAAACTTACCTAGAATCTCTGAGCCTTAACTTTCTTATGTGTAGTATGGGAATAAAAAATATTACTTAGCTCAAAGTGTCATTTTGAAAATTCAGTGATTTTGTGTAGGATACACTCAATAAATGCTTTATTTCTCAAGTTTTGATAGTCCTCTAAGATTCCATGTGTGTAGTCTGTACATGAAAGCTTGCTCAGCTGCTGTGCAGTGGGCTTACTCATGACACTTGGAAAGTTAACCAGCACCACTCACAAGGAACCAGACAGGGCATTTGTCATATGGGCAGTGTTATGGTTAATAACTAAATGTCCCCTGAGAGCCTCATAGCCAGGGCTTTGGGGAGGTGACTTGCTATTAGGAGTCAGGGTCTGATGGAAAGAGGTGGGTCACTGGGGTATGACCTGGTAGGACCTCAGTTTCCCCATCTCTGCTTCCTGGATGCCATGGCATGAACAGCTTTTCTACACAGCAGGCCCTTCCCTGGTATCACTTCTGCCCTGGAACCAGATGATTATGGACTGAAACCTCTAAAAAGAGTGAGCCAAAATAAACCTCTCCTCCTTTAATTTGTTGGTATTGAATCCCAGCAAGGAGAAAATGACTAAGACTAAGAGAAATCAAGCTTGCCCAATTGTGGATGATTTGCATTGTTTTGTAAATTAGTTTCATAGTCGGAAAGTATACTGAGTTAGGAAGTGGTTTAATCCAGAATGTCCCTTTTACTGATCATTTTGAAATTGGTTCCCCTTTCAGATCTACTCTGTGTTCAAGAGAACCTTGTGACCATGCAAATATATAAGAAAACTCTGACCAACTGATGACCTTTTTAAATTCTTAAATTACAAAATATTCTGATAGCATATCTTCTGAAAAGTATGGTACTAAATATACAGTGATGATCTGAAGACAAACATCAGCATTTCCAGGTTATATGTAATAAAGAACAGGTTTTCACTACCTTCCTGTATGTGGATGCAAAGCTAGGGCTGAAAGTCATGTAGAAACACAGATCCTGAGCGGCTAGGGAGGAACTCCCACTTGCTGGGGGCTCCCTTCTGTCCCATACCAGCCTTATAACCTTTAGAGTATACATTTGGTACTTCATTCTGTATTTTTCCATTTTGCTGCAGGGGATCTGTATTGATTTTGAAAACAGTACATATTATTCTCTTAAAATTGTATCTCAGCTGCTGATCATGGTGGCATGTCCTTGTTGTAGTCCCAGCTGCTCGGAGGGCTGAGGCAAGAGGATCCCTTGAGCCCAGGAGTTTGAGGCTAACCAGGGCAACATAGTGAGACTTCCAGCTCAAAAAACAAAACAAAACACAAACTAAGTTTCTCAGCCATTAAGGATTGATTTTTCTAGTCACAGAACTGTTAAATTCTCAAATACCAAGGTCTTTATTTTCTGAGAGTATGTAATAGGTCAATCCATCACAACCTACAAACAAATATGGATGAGTATTCAGCTGCCCTTTCACGGTGGTCCTCAGCCTTGGGGGCTGGCCCTCATCAGCTAATTTGAGTAAAAAAGGAGGGCAATGATGAGAAGAAGCAAGGTTCAAAGCAAGAAGAGGTGCTTCTTTGGAGGAGAATCTCTGAATACAAGGAAGAGGAGGAGAAATCCTCAAAAGTTGTATGTGTCTATGGTGATGAGGGGAGTGGGTGATGGGGAAAGAAAGTTGAATAAAACTCAGAATTTAGTGGTCAGCTGAAAGCCAGTGCTAGCCAAGATCTTTCCTTAAGTCCTGCTTACCTCACCCAAAATCCCCAGCCCTGAGTGCTGTCCTCTAATTAGGGGGAGAGAGGGAAAAAACCTGCAGTGTAGACCCATCTGATGACACCATGTCTGTAGGTGGGGCCAGGCAGTTTGTATTTCTTTTTGCTTTTCTATATTAGATCAGTCTTCATCCTAGAAGTTTTCCTTTCCTCCTTTCTCACTAAAAATATTGAAGTTGGCCCATGATGGTGCAGGCCTGTGATCACAGCACTGTGGAAGGATGGGACAGGAGGACTGCAAATTCAAGGCCGGGCTGGGCAACTTAGTGAGAGCCTGTCTCAAAAATAAAAAAAGGGTTGAGGATGTAGCCCAATTTGAAGGCCCTGGATACAATCCCCAGCACCACAAACAAAACAAAACACACAACTTAAAAGTGAAAACAGGGCTGTGGATTTAGCTCAGTGGTCCCTCCGCCTGCCTCGAAAGAACAAGGTCCTGATTTTGATCCCTGGTACCAAAAAAAAAAAAAGTGAAACAGCCTCGCAGCTATATTACTGTTTCAGCTGCATGTGAATGGACAGCCAGCACCCAGAATGCAGTCCCGAGGTGTCTTCACTTGGGTTCCTGCTATTTAAATTGTTTTTCGAGTTTTAGAGAACTTAGCCCTGTGCTTTCCCCCCATCTTAAAGAATCCTGTTTTCTTTTCTTTTTTCTTTTCTTTTTTTTTTGTTACCAGGGATCAAACTCCGGTCCTTGCGCTTGTGCAGCAGGCAGCAAAACCACTGAGCTAAAACCCCATCCTGAATCCTGTTTTCTTTATCAAACCCAATTGAAGTGCCTCCTTCCCTTTGCATAGTGCCCTAAGTTTTACCTGTCCAGGTGAGCCTCACCCCCCCCAGCCCCGCCCCTCTTATAACCCACTTTTCAATTTTGTTGACCAGAGCTGTAGAAATCTTTGGCCCATGGTGAGTGGCTTTCTGGGCAGCAGTCCACCTAGCAGAAGCCGTGTGCTGACAGCAGCCTCTTCCATTTCCACTATTCCTGTATCACCTCCTTGGTGTGCGAGGCTAGCGCTGAAATGCTCATGTATTTGAACAAAAAGCAGGGTTTTTGTTCCTGAGCTGCAATGAATAACGAAGCACTGTCCCTTTGCAGTTCATTCCTACTGTTGTTTTTGTCTCAAATTCCTTCCAGTCAGCTAAGATATTGGAGAGATGGTGGGGATGGGTTCCTGAGGGATTTGGTGCCCATGTGAACTCCTACTTGTGGCAAGAATGTGGGAACCGTGGTCAGCCAGGGCATGTAGAGGATCAGGGTCTAATGGCATGGGCAGCAAATGGTGCTGGCTGAATTCTCTGTGCTACGACCTGGGCTTGGGGTCCACCTCTTTATAAACACCTAGCCTCATTGACCTCTGTCCAGGTTTCTTGAATAGTTCACTTCTTTTTTTCCTCATCTTCTATATGTCTATAAAAATAAAAATTCTCCCCACAGTGTATACTCTTGCCTCTCAGATATTTGCCCAAAGAGCCTTTCAGATTTTGAGAAACCAGGAGAATGAATGAAGTGCCTATATCCTCAAACTATCTCCCTGTTGCTATGCTTCCAGGTGGACACCCTGGAGGTGATACGGCACCCAGAAGAAACCACCAACATGAAGAGGCAAACCATGGCTTCTTACTTCCGGGTATGGAGTCTCCTCAGTCTATTCCATCTGCATGCAAAGGGGACTTACCAAGCCTTCCCATGAGAGGTCCAGGGATGAAGGAGTCATTGGAACAAAGGGAAAGCACAAGAGCCATTAAGAAAGAGGGTAGGGTAGGGGGAGGGATAAGTGGTAGCAACAGCAGAGAGAGGCCACCAGGCGCACAGCCCTTAGTATTGAACGTGCTGAATTAAGTTGTTCTGTTGGCCTTTGAGCTGCTTCTTGACTTTAAAGCCACAGGTGTCAGCTACTTTTCCAGCAAATAATAGTATAAGAAATGACCTGCCGGGGATTTAGCTCAGTGGTTTCGCCGCCTGCTGTGCAAGCACAAGGACCTGAGAGTTCCATCCCCGGTACCAAAAAAAAAAAAAAAATGACCTTATTGGTCTAGACCGGAAAGGACCAATTAAAAATATTTTTGTCTCTTATAATCGTAGTTAATAAAATTCTGTAAAGTGGCATATCAAGTTTAGATACTGAGAAAAGCATTGGTTTTATTTTCCTAGATTGAATTGGCACAGTGCAAAACCCATTTGCCTGAACCCTATTATTGACCATTTCTGCCACCCTAATTTCTGATATTTCATCTAGTGAAATGTCTCCTTTGGATAAAAAGATTATCTCTAGAAGGGCTATGCTCAATGCCTCTTATATAGCAAAGATCAGACATATGCACTCTTCTACCAGCCTGCACAGATGTGTTGATCTTCACATTATTATAAAACATTAGCCCTTTAGAGACTATGTAGCACTGGGAGCTAAGGGCCAGGTAGCTTCATGGTAGTTAGAGATAGTGCTCTGCCAGCATGGGAACTGATTTCAGGGGAAACCAAGTAAGGGGGTAAGGTGGTGTTGGCAGAGGAAGGGGCTCTGCAGGGGTGGGTGGTCAGGAGGATGGGAAACTGGGTAATGAGCTGGAGGAACCAGATGGGCTCAAGGGCAAGACCTAGGAACCAGCACTGTAGATGGAAGGTGTAAGAAAGATCTAAAGCCATAAAGTCCAACCTAGTCAGTTGTTTCAGAGGCAGACCAGAATTCGGCTCATGGCGCAAGTTGCAGAGATACCAGGTCTTTGAGTCTAGTACTCCATCCTTGCAGCAATCCTTCCGACGCTACTCTTTTGGGCATGACTTTCAGTTTCTGCTTTATCACTCTGGTGGTTGGGCCTTTCTAATTGCTCTGGTCCTATCCCCTTCAGTGGCTGGGCTGTATCCTCATCCTTCTAGTAACTCCTGTGTGTGTGTGTGTGTGTGTGTGTGTGTGTGTGTTTCCTCATGGAATTTAGAGCTTCTTTGACTCTGTGAAGTCAGTCTCAAGCTCCGTGACCACCCCATCAGCAGAGAAGCCCCTGGCTTAAAGTTTTTCAAAAATATACTCATGATAATTAATTTGGTATCCTTAAAATACTGAAAAATAAGTTATCTTGGTAAGCTAGGTAAGAAGAGTTTTTTGGGTTTGTTTGTTGGTACTGGGGATCAAACTCAGGTCTTTGCGCTTGCAAGGCAGGCGGCAGAACCATTGAGCTACATCCCGGGCCCTGATAGGAGTTTTGATCATTAAGAGGAGTGATTGTGAAAAAATGGAACTCCTTTCCTGAGTGGTTTACAATTACCCCTGAAGGCCTGCCTGGGAGAGGAGCTCTGACAACTGGAGTCACCTGAACACAAAGCCAGTCTGGGTTCCTACATCCTTTCCTCCTCTCTTCTCTCTGCCAGGAATATGCTAGTTGATCTTGATCATAACTTTTTCTCCAATTTTGTTTTACATTCCTCTACCTTGTATAAGTAGTATCAGTAGAATTTGCTTAGACTTTCTGGTGGTTCTTAGGCTAAAGAAATTACCAACCCCTTCCCCCAAGGCTGGGTATTTTAAATTAGTTTTTAGAGCGTCATTTTAGATACCAGAGAATATTCCAGGATAACCTAGAACATGATCTTATCCAAGTTTCTGGCCAATGGAAACACTGCTTGGCCTTAGATGTCTCAAAAATGGTTTTTCTGAAGAGAACTTACACTGCCATCCCCTGTTGCTAATTCATGTTTTGCCTCAAAGGTCTGAGAGTCATTCACAGACTTCACACTTCTCTGGAGGGTCCTGTAAGCCCAGTAGCTGGTAACCTCATTGCAGGCGAGTTTTTCTCCCTGGCAGTATTCTCTGATGGACCTGCTCTCCAAAATGGTGGTTGGACAGCCTCACTTTGTGCGTTGCATTAAACCCAATGATGACCGAGAGGCCCTGCAGTTCTGCCGAGAGAGAGTCCTGGTCCAACTCCGCTCCACGGGCATCCTGGAGACTGTCAACATCCGCCGGCAGGGCTATTCCCACCGCATCCTCTTTGAAGAGTTCGTGAAAAGGTCAGACCAGAATCCTTGAAAATGCAGTTTGTAAATTTAGCTGTCTCCTGCTGATCCCTGAACCCAGGGGTTGCTCTTTCTACCCTCTTCCCTCTAAAACTGTACTTGGCTATTTACCAGCTGCCATTTACTTGCTTCAATGTTGTGGTATTTTTATTGTGCTCCAACTAAACTGTAGTGATTCAGGGGGCAGGTTAGGTAAGCTTCCTTCTGGTCTCATTAAAAAAAAATGTCCGTAGATATTCATAAAATTCTTAGTTCTCAATTTCTGCAGATGTTTCATTGTTCTTATGGAAATATTCCTTCATCATTGAGTCAAGCTTCTGAAAGAACTGAACACACCCGAGCACTCACTCCTCTCCTAGCCTCTGGCATCATGTAATGTGCACTTTCCTAGCACCTAAAATGTCCTAAAAGTAGGGGACATTTTAGGGCACTATCCTCAAATGTATGATCTCATCTGATCCATGAGACAACCTTAGAAGCTGACTTCTATTATTATCCCCACTTTACAAGTGAAGTAATTGGAGCACACGAAGAAATTGACTTTTCCATGGTACAATGGTAAAGCCAAGATTTGAACCCCAACAGTCTAGTTTTAGGGTCTACATTTTAATCACCTCAGTTCACTACATTCAGTCATTTATTAACATGCACAAAATGCACAAAGCTTTCTAAACTAGCAACTATCTTTACCCGAGAATGGAATGTCCCTCTTTTCCTGCACAACCACTGTAAAGATGCCTTGTGTGTGCAGTGTGAGTATGGATAGGATTTTCACAGATTTTTTTTGTGAAAAAATAGTGAATAACAGCAACAAACCACCTCTGAGAAAGAGGCACTACTTCCGAAGATGCCCAAAGAGGAATATTACTATCCATTATAAAAATCTGCCTTTTTCTCACCAGCCATACTTACTAATTTTTTTTTAAACTCTCACTCTGAATTGAATGCCTAAAGTCATTTTTCCAACATTTTCTCAGGGAAGAATGGATCCTAAGTATGGTAGTTTGCTTTACCAAGTCTTCCAAATGCTGCTAAATTCCTTGGGAAAGAAAAGAGGGAAAAAGTTTTTCGCAATGAGAGCTTTTAAATTAAAGTTAAGAATGAAATGACTTTTTAAAAAGAACTGTCTTTAAGCTTCTTTTTTCCTCTCTTAAATTTGGAGAGGGAACAAAATAAAAAAGATTAGTTTAGCTCATGAATGTAACTAGTCAAGTATTTTTAGCCACACAGCGTTGAATACATAAAAATATTTAAGAAAACAGGTCAAATGCTAAACAAATTGACACTTCTTTGTTCATAATCAGAAAACCATTAGGCAAGTATGAGCAAGAGTTTCAAAATGTCAGTAAATCTAGGGATATCAAAGATTTTGGAGCCAGCAAGTTAATTGGTATTTTGATCCTTTTCAGCGTCTTAACAACAAAATGGATGAGCTAGCAGTTTCCCCCTTGATGTTATTCAACAAATAGGTGCTTCTTATCTTCCTGCTCAAGAGTGCTGTTTTGTAAACTCTTAGCAGGAAATATGCAGATGAAACTATCAAAGGCCGGGAACAGAGCCACAGAGCTATCCAAGGTTTATCAAGCAGAGGTAAATAAAAGGTTTAATGAAACTTAGTTAATGTTGCTCTTTACCTTTTCCTCTTTTCTGGGATTCAGGACTGAAACCTGAAAGGTAGTGCTCTTGGGATTATGTTGTCTCTGTCCAGAATGGGGAAGAAATTCTCCAATCCCCAAGTCACCCAAGTCTGCAAACTTGGCCAAACCTAATATGCTTCCTTGCTCTATCAGCCTTGATGGCAAGATGACTTGGAAGTACCCTTTCTTATCCTCTAGCCATGGGCCTCTTGAGGAAGGGAATGGCCCTGACACCCTCTCGTCAGCGGGGCCAGGTGAGTTGGAAGTCTGTCTGCCCTAAAACGGCCACATTGGGCAGGTAGCCAAAACCTTCTGGAAGGCAGGCTGTTGAGGGGCACCCCAGAAAACCACTGTCTTCCTGGGCAATGAGCGCTCAGAATGGCAACACTGGAGCAGACACTCTGCCTACGTGAGTTGCTGTAACCCAGCAAGTATCTCAAGGACAGGGACAAGGCTAATGGTTTGCTGTTGCAATAAATCGTGCAGTTTAGTAAGTGCTGTGCAAGACGGCACAGAGAAGCTGGTGGTACAAAGGATTTTACCAATAGACAAGGAATACAGAAAGAGACGAGTTTATTTAGATAGAGGATGCTGCAGGGGGGACAGTGGGTGAGAGTTTCCAAGAGAGGAATCACACAGTCAGGGTGAGAGACTGGGTTTTTTTTAAGGGTTTGAGGATATGGAAAAAGGATCTAGGAAGCAAATGTAATTATATAAAGAACATCTTTTCTGTTTTGCTTTGTTTTGTTTTTTGGTACTGGGGATGGATCTCGGGTCCTTGCGCTTGCGCAGCAGGTGGTGAAACCACTGAGCTAAATCCCCAGCCCAAGAACATCTTTTCTGAATTGTTTGGCACCTTATAGATCTCTCAGGAGCATCTGTTTACAGGTTGCAATTTTGACAAGGCTCCAGAAGGCCTTTAGCTTTGATCCTTAGAACTGAGATAGATGGACAGTGGAATCACCATGACCCGAAGAAAGTGCTCCTGAAATGACATTTCCACCCCCCCCACATTAAAATCAAATGTAAAGGTCCCTGCTTTCTCCCCAGTGATGTGGCTGTCTCTTGGACCTGCCCACTGCTCTCTTGCAGTGTGTCAATAAACTCTTACCTTTGCTCTGTTCTCTGACTATTGGTAAATTCTCTGATCTCTCATGTACTTCGCCTTGCATGGCCTGGTCCATCCAGTGTGATGCCTGCTGTAAATTAGGTGTTTATTAAATATTTATTGAGTTGAATCAAACTCTTTCTCCTTCTTCTTTTTTTATTTTGGTACCGGGGGTTGAACTCAGGTCCTTGCGCTTTTGTACCAGGTGGTGAAACCACTGAGCTAAATCCTCGGCCCTTTCTCCTTCTTCTTTATCTCTAGCTTCTTTAACCATCTCCTGACTGACTCTTTGGTCCTTGCTCTTTTGAAGCACATGGCACATAAAGGGAGCTGGCTTTGTTGAGGTTAAGCTTTACTTGCATTGCAACATACAACCTAGATTGAGAGAGCATACAAGCCTCAAGAGCTACTTGAAGCCAAAATTAAAAGGGAGTGATGTACGGACTTATGAAACTGAGAAGTCCAGAAATATGTTTGGATTCAGGGCATTAAACAATTTTACTCAGCCACCAACTTTTTCCTTTTATCAACTTTGTTTTCCCCCATTCAAGAGTTTCTTGTCAAGGCAGGGCAGGGTTGAGATGGCGCCCCCTGGAAAGCTTCTAGAAGGAAGCATTCCATTCTATAGGCCCAGCAACACCTGCCACAATAGAGTTTCTGATGGTTCTCACACAAGGAACTGTTTGTCCCATCGTGGATCACATGCCACCCTTGAGCCAATCATTGTGTCCAGGGCATGATTGGCAGTGCCTGGGTCAAGTGCCAGGGATGGGGTCAACTCCACTTGAGCCAGGGTTTAAAAGACTCTGTTAAGCCAGGCATGGTGGTACGCACCTTAATCCCAGCACTTGGGAGATGAAGGCACGGGGATCACTTGAGAGTTTGAGGCCACTCTGGGCTACAGAGCGAGTTCAAGTCTGCCCTGAACTACACAGTGAGACCCAAAAAACAGGGCCAGTCATGGCGGTGCATGCTTGTAATCTCTGAACTCAAGGCAGAGGCAGGAGGATCGCCATAAATTCAAAGCCAGCCCCGGCTATATAGTGAGTTGAAAGTCAGCCTGAACTGCATAGCTGGACCCTGTCTCAAAAACAAAACAAAACATACTGCAAAATTCTTGCTATTATTTATCATTCTCTTCACAGAATTTTCTTTTTCCTTCCTTTCCTACATAGTATCTACATTAAGTTGTTGATCAGCTGCTTCTGAGTTTTGAATTCAGCTTCTGCATTCTGCCTCTTTGAGGCAATAAAAGGAAAATCCCCATTCCTTTTAAAAGTATGTAGTACAGTATGTCCCACACAGGATCCAAGCTGAATCAGATCCCTGCTCTGGGCAGAATTATGACTCCATAGCACCCCAGTGTCCTCCATCCTGGGTATAAAGTTTGAACATGGCATCCTATTGCCAGGTACTCCAATGAAAAGATTCCTGAATGATTATCTCCCTAGGCAGACTGATGTTTGCTTTTAGGAAGATTCTAATCAGCCAGTCTTCCACTGGCATTAACGGGTTCTGGAATCCAGGAGAAGATGAGAACTAGGAGTCTCCAACTTTCAAAATATGCAAGTGTCCCTTACTCCCTCTGTGCTTGGTTTAGTAACACTCAGTCTTATATGATTATAAACAGAAATCTTCCTTTTCTAATGCCACACTTTTTCTTTTTACTTTGTGAAAAGATAAAACAAAATGTCATACCCAAATAATAGAATTACAATAGTTTTTGCACTATGCATCATTATCTTCTAAGTAGTGATTCAGTACAAGATGTAACCAAAAAGATTCTTACAAAAAAGAAACAGATAGGGCTGGGGATTTAGCTCAGTGGTTTTGTCACCTGCCTCGCAAGCGCAAGGTCCCGAGTTCAATTACCAGTACCAAAAAAAAAACCAAAAACAGATAATAGTAACACAAAGTTTCTTTTCAAAGAACTAAGATAAACTTTTTGCATAAAAGAAACAAATTAATATATGTATTGAAATATTTTAAAACAATGAAATATGTAATTTAGGGAAGTGTTTATCTTCTCCCTGATTCATCTATATATACATATATATATATATATATAATTTCTCCTATAAGAGAAACCATGCAGTATTTCAGCTGTTTGTCTGACTTATTTCACTTAATGTTATGTTCTCAAGTTTCATCCGTTTACCTTCGAGTGTCTCAAGTTTATCTTTATAGCAGCATAGTACTTCATTGTGTATAAATACCACATTTTCCTTATCCATTCATCTGTTGATGGA